TGTATTTAAGCAAGCTTAGAAGCCTTTGATCAACAACAAGAAACATCAAGCAACTAGAATCAAGAGAGAATCAAAGAGAAAGCATCAAACCTCAAGTTTGAGCATTTCAAGCCTATTTTTCATTCAATATTCATCTTGCTTTCAAGAACACTTATTGTGCTCAATTGTATTCATTTTTGAGTGTTCTTTTCTTTGTTCTATAATTGTGCAAACAATCTACCTTGTGAGGATTTCCTTGTAAGTTTGCAAATTTGTATTGTTCTCTTTGGGAGAGAGTGTTCTCAAGAATTTGGGGTATAATTCTTAAGGGTTTGTAAGGTTACTATTTGTCCTCAAAAGAAAGACAAATTAGTGAATTTGTGGAAAATCCTTAGTGTGGATAGATAAGGTAGTGGATGTAGACTTTGGTTGAAAAAGTCGAACCACTCTAAATCGCTGTACAATTTCTTTCAATTTTCTGCAAAAGTTTTCACCAAAATTTTTATTGCCAATTCACCCCCTCTTGGTCAATTCCGTCAATCGATTAACTCAACAATATACTTTACCCTAATTTTATTATACCCTCAATTCTTAAAACATTGTTTTGAAGCATCAATCATCTGAACCAATTGTAAGATCATGTCAACTTCTTATCATTACAACTGACAACATGAGCAAATCAAAATGATCAATAATTCACAATAAAAAATCACTCAATTAAAAAACGAGTTCGTCAAAATTCGAAATATGAGATTAACTTACTTTCAACTCTTATTCCATTCTAATGCATAACAAAAGATATAAATATTCATTTTCTCTTAAGGAACAAACCCTAGGCACCACTCTCACCAAACTTTCTCTAAGAAATATATGAGAGAAATCTCGACTAATAGAAGATCATCTACTAATAAATTTTAATTTATAATAAAGAAGTAAATCATAAGTCGTCAATTAATCTCTACTGTTTTTTATTTATTTAATTACTATAAATTATAAACCCATATTAATCATATTAACTGTCAATTAATCGAAAGGAACCTATATAATTAGGCTATGAAACTAATAGTTATGTTGCCGGCTATTCAAGAGGTCTCTCGTTAAGATGTTCCCTAAGTTTGCCGGTGGAGTGTTGTGGATCACCAACTAGAAGCGATACGGTTAGTGATCGCACGAACGAGCGAGAAAGGGCTAATTGCTGCATTGTGATCACCAAAGAGATGCACTACTTGAATGTTATTTGTTTGGATTTGAAGGGTCTCCAGACCATAACCCCATGCAACTTGAAGGCCAACATAAATCACTCATAGCTCAGCTTGTAAAACGGCAGAACACCAATGTTCCTTGTCAGATGAGTCACGAAGCACACCTCCACTGAAATCATTTCGGATTGAGTTACAACGTTGTCGTTGAAACAATCACCTGTAAAATTAATTGTATCCAGATCATTTAGAGGAACAATATTTTTTATAACTAGAATCATTCTTTAAATACAATAGCCCTGTTATTTTAATTAATAATTAAAAAAAATAAGTACATAGTAAAATGTACTCAACATTTTCTTCTATATTAATAATTAGTCAAAAATCTCTTTTAGTCAAACAAATTTCTTGTGAACATTGATACATGGTAGAGTGGAAAATAATGCACACGATAATAAAAGTTAAGTTCAGTGATCCAAATAAAGACAGTCTAATAACTGAATGACTATCAGAATAATTTTCCCTCTAACTTTTAATAGATCTAAAATTCGAATGACTTTCTTTCCCAAACTAGAGGGCGAAGTTGGGTTAAACTTTCAGGACCAAGGACGTTAATTAAGCGTAATTAAGTTATGGAATTAAATTTAAAGGCCCATAAGTTTGCTTCTGGCCTTAAAAGCTTTGCGTCACTTTTGACTAAAGATCCAGCCATTTCTTTTGGTTCCCAATGGCTATGCCCAGTTATTTAAAGGTATCACATTGTCCATCTAACTATGGCAAATATTTAACTTAGAAACGACCTTAGTGATTAAAGTGATGATTATTATTTCTAAAGATTTTAGATTTGAACATATCGTTTGTAGGGGTGATCAAACGTTCATTTTTAAATGATTTAGAGTCTTTTGAATACTTTATATTTGTACTAGATTAATAAAAAAAACTTAACAATTGGGTTTAAAGTTTTTTTTTATTTAATTGTTTATTTTTTAAAAATGTTTCCATTTTCTAAATTAAAAATCTAAATTTTTATACAAGTAATGTATTAATATAAATTATTTTTTATTAAATAAATAAATTTATTTAATTAAGCTGGCTATATGAAATATAATGTTAGTAATTTAGTGTAAAACAATATAGGTTGTCGTGTGGCAGAAAATGAGATTGAAACACTGGACGTAGGTATGGAGATGTCTCTTTCTTCCCATAAGCATATTATTTCTTCTCTAAATAATGTCAGGCAAAATGCCACTCAGATCAAGTGGCCCCCTTGCTCTGCTCTCGGGTCCATCATCAAGATCCAGAGAAGAAGAAAATTTCCAAACAGTAAACCAAATTTGTCCTTTTCAGAGTCTGCATGATTGGAAAACCTCATATTTATTCATCGGTTTAAAACCCAGAAAAATGAAGAGAGAACCCCATTGGGGGCATGCATGCATGTCACAGACCACCAGTTTCTTCGATCAGTACATTTACATGCCATCTCATGCCAACCTATGCTTTGCATAGATACGCCCCCTCTTCATCGTCACCCCCAGCGAGTTCTTCCCACGCGTCGCCCTTTTGATAAGTACCCTCATAGGTCTTTTGAAACATGCTCTGAGGATGTGGAGCATGGTGGCGCGTGTAGCAGAAAAGTGTTTATTTGCTTGATCATTAAACCATGCAAAATCTGCCTGCCACCTGACTGCGAAAATGTCAGTCAGAAGGAGTAACGTAAGTGCCTGAATACCGTAACGCACTGGAAGCGTGTGGTAGGGATTTTCCAATTCAATGCTCCAAAAACATATAACTCCTCCTTCGTCTTTTTTCAATCAGAGAAAATAGCATTTAACTCTTGTGGGTAAGGAATTTTATTTTATATAGAATATACTTCTCCTTCTTATCTAAAAGTTGTCTCATGGCGGCAGCAGCGTTGGCAATTGCATCAGCAATGTGCAATGAACAAAAGGTGACGGTAATGTGAAGAAATAGAGGAAGGAGGCAGAGTTATCAATCCCATTCTCATAGAGCTTCGTACACTTTATTATATGTATATGATGTCAATGAAAGAGAGGTCAGATTGCTCCATCATTGCCTCAATTATCAGAGAATAGTAAAAAACCATACATATGTGTAGGAGTCTAGTTCCAGAGGGTTCGAACGTGTTTACATATGTATTAATATTAAACACATTTAGTGGTTAAAGCAAATGTTATTCTCCTTTAAAGTTTTAGATTTGAATAGTTGTGTCTACAGGGTGTTTAAATATGTATTTAATTTTGTGATGTCTTTTGACCAAATTATACGTTAATTAGGAAAAAGGAGCATGTACACACTCAAACAACCAAGTTCAATAGCTACTATCTAATAATGAAAGGCACTATTCAAGGACCTAATGTGGTTAAAGCTATGTAGCAAGAAAGTCGGTCCATCCTTTTATCTAATTAATAATAATAAAGCAAAAATATTTAGGTTCTACCATATAGATTCATACTAATAGCTTTGATGACAAGTCTTCTTGACCTTTACTTTCCTCGCATGCATTTCGACATGCCGTCTTATTAATAATATTTGTGGGTAGAAATATACATATCATTTTACGACAGGAGATTAAATTTATAAAATTTTAGAAAATAAAAGTATATTATTATATATATATATATATATATTTAAAAGTTTTAATGAGATAATTATTACGACAATCTTCTCGATCTATATCTATTTTTTGTGACTTAATTTGTTTACATTATTCAAAGGTGGTTAATTGTTTAGGTTTTTTAGTGGACATGAATGATTGGTACATGCTTTGATTGTTTTTTTACTAATTTTCTTTTTGAATTAATTAATGGTATCCGATCTATTGACTGATTAATCTTATCGGATACTGCAGAGGCGAGGGAGACCATCTCAACCCAGTTTGCTCCATTCACAAACGTCAGTATTCAAATCCTTAACCTTGCTTAAGGGACCTAGTACCTCATCTCACTAGACCAACTAATTGTTGGTTTTTTATTTTTTACTAAATTTTAAGCATACGTACTGCTATTGTAATTAATCTCACTTATGAGATGTGGATCTTGAGGTCAGCTATGAAGTCAATATAATGAGTAATCCCAGATTTTGTGGATCCATTGCCATGATACATATACACAATTTCGGAAAGGAAAATTCACATTGAATTGTGCCTCAGGGATCTTGTACACGATGTGGGATATGATTAAGTCAACCCTCGAGGAACAGTAAAAATTATTAATAGTAGCTCACGCGATACCATTAACCTTAATTATTTACACAAATCGAATTTGGTTTAATCAATATGATATCCAATATAAACACACATTTTATAATTGAATGTCAATTATCATGGTCATCTGTGTACTCTACATAACAGTGATAAATTAGTTTGTAATTTTTATCTTTTTAATATAGAATATCGTGGTCGATCGTATTTCTATGTATCTAAACTCTAAAGTATTGATATTCTAAAATATTAAAAGTAGAGATATATTATATTTTCAAAGTAAATGTCAGATTTGAATTAGACAATAAAAATATTCTTAACTACTCGACCAATTAATGTATAAACTCTAAAGTATTAATATTCTTTCGTTTCAAAGACAACCTTATAGACAAATATTGAAAACATATTCTATTTATGAAATTAATTTGTACAAAGTTAACAATCTTACATCATCATCATCATAATAATAATAACCCATCATAATAGGTCAAAGGATGGATGGATATGCAAAACTCCTTTGCAACAACAAAATTGGTACATTTACAATATTCTAGAACGAAGGGTAGTAAAGAAAAGCATTGCATCCCCCCTCCTCCATGGAATCATCTTCCTTTGAGCTGGATAACATGAGAATTACAACTGTTGTTGTTAATTGGCCGCCATTGTTGAGCAATGTCTATAGCAATTTTAACGGCGTCGGAAGCCGTTCCTTGGAGCCCTCTTCTTGTGAACCCAACCGTGTACAACCCCTTCTCGGCTTTCCATCCGTCAGGAAACGGCGTTATCGGCATCCCATCTTCGTTGAAAAACGACTCACACCTCTGAAATTTCGAATAAAATTATCCGATATCAAATTCGATATTAATATTAATTTAATATCGACATATTATTTGATGATAGTTACATGTCATGAACCACTTAATAAAATTTAAGGAATTTAGAGAGGTTTGTTATTATTTATTTATTTACTCTTTTTTTTGGCAGGGAGAAAAGAAGAGATTTGTTGGGTTGTGGGGGCAGAAAGTGATGTGTGATTCACAACAAGATAGAACTAAAAACTAAACGAAATGTAAAACAACTGAGTGTCTGATTACCTTGAGCCAAGTAGGCACATTGCTTTTGTACCCAGTCGCCAAGATTATTGAATCAATCTCCTTCTCTTGTCCATCCGCAAACTTTGCTCCATTCCTTGTTATCTCTTTCACACCTTCCATCACCTTAATTTTCCCAGATTTTATCAGTGATAATGCCCCGACATCCAGCACCGGCGTCTTTCCCGTGACGTTCTTGATCTCGATTGGACCGGTCTTTGGCCGCCGGAGACCGATTCGGTCGGTGTTGCCTAGGATGAAATTGGATACCAGCAGCAGGAACTTGTCTACTAGCCTTAGTGGGAACCATTTGAGAAATGACATTGCAATCCCAAATGTTGAGAAACCAAGCATTTCCCTTGGCAATACATGCACCTGCAGAAACGGAAGATAACATCAGCAACAACGAACATATAATGTCTTTTTGACAAAGATTTTCAGACAAAATCGAATCAGGACTTGCCGTGTTCCGAACAACCATGTGAGGGATTGCATTGTATAGACAAAGGTCCAAGCTGACCTCCATGCCGGAGTTGCCGCATCCGACGACCAAAACCCTTTGGTTTTTAAACTCGAAACCGGACTTGTATTCGCTGGTATGAACGACAGAGCCGTGGAACTTGTTGATCCCGGGAATGTCTGGTATAACAGGCTCGGCATTTTCGCCGGTAGCAACGATAAGCCACCTCGAAATGTACTCGGAGTCCTGAGTTTGAACCCTCCAAACCTCCGAAACATCATCGTACTCGGCGCTTTGCACGGCTTGGTTTAACCTCGGGTGAATCGAGAAGTGTGAAGCGTAGGATTCCAAGTAGGAGATGAACTGGCGCTTGGTCGGGTACTTTGGGAAATTTCGAGGGAAACCCATGAGAGGTAACTGGCAAAACTGTTTGGGGAGGTGGAGTTTGAGACGATCATAAGTTCGGTGTTGCCATAGAGAAGCCAAGCAATCGCTTTTCTCAAGGATAATGGAAGGCACCCCATGTTGAGTTAAGCAAGCTGATGTTGCTAGACCGGAAGGCCCTGCGCCTACGATTATAGGTCCATGAACACGAACGCAGTTCGAGTCGTCGTGATGATGTTGTTGTTGTTGAGAAGAACCCATAATCCCAGGGAAATGGATAGAGAAGTAAAGCTTAAAAAGAAGGAAACACAGAGGAAAAAGAAGGGCCTTTCTTCTTTTATTTTCTGCTAAATCCTCTGTACTTTTCACTCTGTAAAGCCCTGTTTTATTTTTTTCTCACTACATACTGAGAAAAATGATAGATGAGGTGGGATTTATAAAGGCAGACGAAAAGTGCCCAAGGAATAAAGATAATAGCAGGGGTCAATGGGAAGACTGGCGAGCAGGAGAGCTTTTGATGCACCAAATAAACGAGTAAATATTGAAGTGAAAAAGGGTATTGGCAGTAAGAAAGAAGTAATTTGGGACTTTCAAATTATTAATAGAAATATTAAATTATATTAAAGAAAAAATAAAAATATTAATAAAAATATTAAACTTTTTTAAAAAAAATTAAAAACATGATCTATTCGTTAACTCTAATAATTTTATTCTATTTTTGTATTAGTTTAAAGTAATTACTATATAATATATATTCAGAATTTTCTCAATCAACTAACATTGTACATACACATAGCAGCTCGAACTAAAAACCTCTGAGAAGAACAACAATATATTTATAATGTAGCATTTAAAAAACCTTGCTTCAATAATATTAAATTTGCATTTAGGTGAATTTATTAAGTGATTTTGGTGGTAAAAGAAAATATTAATAGTCTTTAAAATTTTGAATTCGAGCAATAATACATATAAAATGTGTTTATGTTATCAATATATTAAAGAAAATCTAAACCTATACTATTTTGTGATTATATTAAATTATTTTTTTTTAAATTGCATTTAGGCGAACAACCATAGTACTTTAACTATAGCATATTAGATGCTTACTAATTTGGTGCTTTAACTACAGCAAACTTGAGTCTCTTTTGGATATTTTAAATATTTTTTTTATGAAAATGTTTAAAATGTTTTCATTTTTTGTTAAAATATTATAATGATTTAATACAAAATTATTTAAATTCGATGAATTTATCGATCAATGATGCTTATGTGTAAATCTACTTTGTAGGTTCAAAGTATAAGATTTTCATACTTGTGTATTAATGTGCGGTAATAATTTATTTATAAATATGTGAATTTAATTTAATTTTTATAATAAATCCTAAACCATTTTCTCCTATATCACCCACTCATATATATATATATATATATATTTTCCTTCATCATTAATAACAATAATTATTTTAAATTAGTCGAACGACTTTTATTCTCTTCTATTCTCTATTTTATTTTCTTTTAATATTGATATCTTAAAAGAATTAATTGTTCTTTGATCACGTTAGATTAATTGATAATTAATATAATAAATTTAAAAATAATAATAATATATAATAAATTATTATATTGGGATAGGATTTTATTATATTATGTAAAATTCTTTTCCTTTTATATTGATTAAAGATCGTTGGACGAGTGAAAATATATTAATGAGAGAAGATATTCACTGAAGAAGAAAAAAAAATGAGTTAATTTCAATCGTTTATTTTCACTCATCCAACGGTCTTAAAATATATATATATATAACAAAAAAAATTACACGGTGTAATTGGATCATAATCCTATTATATTCTAAAAGTACATAAATATTTATCACTTATTAAGACAATGTTAAATTTAATTAATATAAATATATTAAAAATAAAATTTAAAATCTCTAGCATAAGCGGGAACTAAAGCTTATATGTACAAATATATAAGATGTAATCCATTTATGTTATTAAAACTTATTAATTTTAAATAAAAATACAATTATCGGATAAATATAGATTAGATCCTATCTCTATATATAATCTTCCTTTTCAGAAAAAAAAATCTTATTATCAACCGACTTGAAGAACATGTGCACTGGCTTCGTACGTTAGCCATGCAATAAGAGCAATTACGTCCACCGTTACGCATATTAATAAAGAAAAAGAAAAAAACCTATTTAATAAACAAACGAAATTTCTTACATGTTTCTTTTAAAAAGGCTTTCATTAATTAATAAATTATTTTAATAAATTAATAAACTTAATTATTAATATATAACTTTTGAAATTTTAAAATAGACCGAAGATTCAATCATATAATGTAAATTGATACTTTTAAATAATAAAATTCAAATAAATAAAACATATAACAACATTTTCGATTTATTAAGAAAAATACGATGAGAGTATGAAAATAATTACTAAAATTAATAATTATTTTCACACTTACGATGGACGCAAGAGAGATGAGAGGGAGCAATCGTCCCTTTGAAAATTTTAAAAAACTATCATATATTTTAAATATTTTTTTCGTATTTTAAGAAAGATCGAAAATTTGTATTTATAAAATTTTATGAAGAGTAAAAAAATATAAAATTTCAAGAGTACTCACACCCGCCTTCTTTCGGTACATTATTATTAAATTCCTTCTAAGAAATTACAAAGCATGGAATTGTCCAAAGCTAACGATACACCAAAGGGACAGTGGAGTCGGAGTCGTGAGTCTTGACTCGCACATTTTTCAATTATGCGATGAAATATATTATATTAATTAGAATATATATTAAAGATATTAAAATTATTTTTAAAAATAGATCACAGATATGTTAAAATAATGCAAGCAAACAATTATATAAAATGCATATACTATATAGTTTTTTATACGACATTCCAGCTTAAAACGTGCATTCAGTATTGAATATTGACCAATACCATAGTCTCTGCTTTAATATATAAAAAATATATATTAAATTATAAAATATAAAAATTATCAAAAAATAATTAAAAATATGTGATTTATCAATAATAAAATTAGGCATGGAGATGAAGAAATGATGAAGATTATGCAATTGACTCAAATCATTCCAATCATTATGCTATTAGATTTTTCATTATCTTATTCAATTGAAATCCCAAAGCTTGCTAACTAAGCTTTGTTTAAACGATAATAACGTTTTAGATTTTAAATTCGAGTTTATCATATACGATTTAAACGTATTTTTGCGATGTTATATAAATTTTATATAATATTATTATAATCGAATCGAATTAAATGTTTAAATAAAAATTTAATAATCCGAACGATTCGACCAATGATATAAAATTTAAAATATAATAAATTATTATGAATCGATAATCATAACACAAAATCAGAGATCGAATGTGTTTAACTAGTTATGATTTAACCACATGCTTATATCATTGTCTTCTTTCTTTGTTAATTTAGATGTAATCATGAATGGGTTTTGCAACTTAATAAAGTATTCAAGGTCTAAGCAACCCTTTATTTTAATTTGCAGAAAGGTTCAATTCAGTGGAATAGTGGGCACTCAGCACAACCCCATCTTTCTCTCTAGACAAATAAAAATATGTACAATTTTATATGCCATCAATTAATTAAATGACAATATTTTGTTTAAATTAAAACAATATACATTAAAGTGCTTATTATTTGATTTGATCTAAATTTAAAGAAATTTTATTTGACTTGAAACGTATTTTATCTTTTCGAGTAAAAATATGTATTTAACTCGTGACACACTCAATTTTGTCAGTAAGTCGAAATATTTTCAACTTAAATCTAAATTCGACTTGAATTTATTTATTTTTAAGAATTTATTTATTTTTAAATAATTAATCTTATATGATCGAATCAGAATCAAAATTATTAAATTTATGTTTGAGACCCACCTTAAATGACATGCGAGGGTGTGTTTGGTTCACGGAATGTAAGATTACAGTGATAATCTAAGATTACCAGGAAATAGGATTACTGAGAATGTTGTATTTTGTGTTTGATTGGTTTAGCAGGAATGTAAGATTACCGTATTTAGTTAAAGAAATAAAAGATTATTGGAAAATTGTCCTTATTATATATTTGTTTTTTAACAAGTTGAAAAATATTTATATATTTTTTAAAAAAAATTAAATTCATAAAATTTATATATATATATTACAAAATTGAAAATATAAAAAGGTTTAATGAAAGGGTAAATTTTTATTTTAACCCCTTAACTTCATATAAAATTTTAATTGTAGATTTTTTTTTGTAAATCTAAAATAGTTTAAGGATAAATTTATAATTTAACATTCGTAGAATTGTTATTATTCAATGACATAAGAATGATATTTTTGAAAAAAAAATAAAGGCATTTTAATCAAAAACGTCGGTAATATTACAATACTTAAGAAAAGGGAGGTAATGACATTTCCGGTAATATATTCCAAAAAATCTACTATTAATAATAAAATATTACAAAATATTACAGGGAATGAGATTCTCGACCAATCAAACATGGGAACGTGGATTCTATTCTCATGGAAATCCTACATTCCTTGATCCAAACACCTCTGAAGAGTATTGTGAAACGTGATATGACATTAACATATCCTAAGGAGAATAGTGAAGGGTAAAGGGTCCCCCTTGACGTTGGAACAGAACGGAATCCGCCAGCTGATCAGATCAGCGACCCATCTGCGTCTACACACGTAATTTTGGCAGAGGCCTTTGCTTACCACTCTGCACCTCTTAAATTCCCATTTGCCCCCCATCTTTGGATTTACATCCGGTTTGATCTGTCTTTCACACATAACTAACTTAACCTACCGACCTGATCTATCTAGTTTTAACTGACCTAACCGAATTCCATGGTTTACCTTTTGGGTTTTAATAAAGCTTGAAGATTGAATTGGCTAAACATTAGCGGAAGATAATGTTCTAAGCATCGGAGGTCATCAATCCAGAGAAAATGGAACTGACTGATCCAGTAAAAATCGAATTTTCATGATTACCTTTACCCTAAAACAGATTACGAATCTGTCGGACTTTATTCAAAAGATAAACTATTTCATGATTGTAAAGGAACCCCTTCAAAGGAAGCAATTGAAACGCAGAGTCTTTGGAAACAAGATTACACATTTGCAACATAGAATTAAAAAAAAAACCCTTGTTTATTACAAGGTAAGAGATTGAAATTCCAAACAAACCTGGAGGCGGTGTGAAAAGGACGATGAATAATACAAGATAAGGAAAAAGTAAGGCTGAAAGGGAAGCAACCAGTAGCGGCGGCGACGATCTGAAAGAGTAACTATGTTTTAGTTGTTTAGGCCTCAAGGTTTTCATTTCCATATATTTCTAAAACAAAAATGA